ACAGAAGAATTCATAACTTTCGGATCTCAACACTTGAGATTAGGAAAAATGACATCTCTCTCTCGGAGTCTCCATTGAGAGTAAGCTTCTCTACATGATTTATTCGCAATCAAAATCGTAGTCTTTTCATATTTTGTTTCGTTTTTTAATTAGTATATAATATTGTTTGTGTTTTTTTTGTTTTTGTTTTTTGGTTTATTTGTTTGCCAAGAAATCGGGGGAGAAGAATTCATAACTTTCGGAAATCAATACTTGAGATTAGGAAAAATGGATATCTCTCACTCGAAGTCTCCATTGAGGCTAAGCTTTTCTACATGATTTCTTTACAATCAAAATTGTAGTCTTAGTTTCTAATTATATTTTTTATTTTTTTGTTTTGTTTTTTAATAATTATATTATTTATTATTTATTGTTTGATTTTTGTATTTAGGTTTATTTGTTTTCTTAGAAACCGTGAGAGAATAATTCATAACTTCTGGATCTCAATACTTGATAATAAAAAAAACAGACCTCTCAATCTTGGAGTCTCCATTGTGGTTAAGCTTGTCTTCATGATTTCTTCGCAATCAAAATTATAGTCTTAGTTTCTAATTAGGTTTTTTATATTTTTTTCATTTTGTAATAAGTATATTATATAGTTTGAGTTTTTTGTTTTTACTTTTTGGTTTATTTGTTTGCCAAGAAATCGTGAGGGAATTCATAACTTTTGGATCTCAATATTTGAGAGTAGGAAAAATGGACATCTCTCTCTCTCTCTCTCTCTCTCTCTCTCTCTCGGAGTCTCCATTGAGACTAAGCTTCTCTCCATGATTTCTTTGCAATAAAAATTATAGTCCTAGTTTCTAATTAGCTATTTAATATTTTGTTGTGTTTTTTAACAGGTACATTATTTATTGTTTGATTTTTTATTTTTTTTTATTTATTTTTTTGTCTTTTGGTTTATTTGTTTGCCTGGAAACCGTGAGAGGAGAATTCATAACGTTTGGATCTCAATATATGAGAATTAGGAAAAACGGAAATCTCTTTCTCTGGTTCTCCACTGAGGCTAAGCTTCTTTCCATGATTTCATATTTTGTTTTGTTTTTTTTATAAGTATATTACATATTTTTTGATTTTTTTTTTTTTTTTTGGGTTTTATTTGTTTGCGAAGAAATCGTGAGAGAAGAATTAACAACTTTTGAATCTCAATACTTGAGAATAGGAAACATGGACATCTTTCTCTCGGAGTTTCCATTGAGACTAAGCTTCTATCCATGATTTCTTTATAGTTTTAGTTTCTAACAAGTTTTTTCTTGTTTCGTTTTTTAATAATTATATTATTTATTATTTGATTTTTAGTTTATTTGTTTGCGAAGAAATCGTGATAGAAGAATTCGTAACTTTTGGATCTCAATACTTGGGAATAGGAAAACGGACATCTCTCTCTCAGAGTCTCCATTGAGACTAAGTTCCTCTCCACGATTTAAATGCAATTAATATTATAGTTTTAGTTTCTAATTTGCATTTTCATATTGTTTCGTTTTTTAATAAGTATATTTTTATTGTTTGATATTTTTATTTTTCTTTTTTGGTTTATTTGTTTGTCAAGAAATCGTGAGAGAACAATTAATAACTTTTGGATCTCAATACATGAGAATAGGATATCTCTCTCTCAAAGTCTCCATTGAGGCTAAGCTTCTCTCTATGATTTCTTTGCAATCAAAATTATAGTCTTATTTGCTTATTAGCTTTTTCATTTTTTGTTTCATTTTTTTGATGAGTATGTTATTTATTGTTTTTGTTTTTTGGTTTATATGTTTGCCAAGAAATCGTGAGAGAAGAATTCGTAACTTTTGGATCTCAATATTTGAGAATAGGAAAAACGAACGTCTCTCTCTCGAAGTCTTCATTGAGGCTAAATTTTTCTCCATGATTTCTTTGCAATCAAAATTGTAGTCCTAGTCTCTAATTAGCATTTTCATATTTTGTTTCATTTTTTATTAAGTATATTATTTATTGTTTTAGTTTTTTGTTTTTGTTTTTTGGTTTATTTGTTTGCTAAGTTCCTCTCCACGATTTAAATGCAATTAATATTATAGTTTTAGTTTCTAATTTGCATTTTCATATTGTTTCGTTTTTTAATAAGTATATTCTTATTGTTTGATATTTTTATTTTTCTTTTTTGGTTTATTTGTTTGTCAAGAAATCGTGAGAGAACAATTAATAAGTTTTGGATCTCAATACATGAGAATAGGATATCTCTCTCTCAAAGTCTCCATTGAGTCTAAGCTTCTCTCTATGATTTCTTTGCAATCAAAATTATAGTCTTATTTTCTTATTAGCTTTTTCATTTTTTGTTTCTTTTTTTTGATGAGTATGTTATTTATTGTTTTTGTTTTTTGGTTTATATGTTTGCCAAGAAATCATGAGAGAAGAATTCGTAACTTTTGGATCTCAATATTTGAGAATAGGAAAAACGAACGTCTCTCTCTTGAAGTCTTCATTGAGGCTAAATTTTTCTCCATGATTTCTTTGCAATCAAAATTGTAGTCCTAGTCTCTAATTAGCATTTTCATATTTTGTTTCATTTTTTATTAAGTATATTATTTATTGTTTGAGTTTTTTGTTTTTGTTTTTTGGTTTATTTGTTTGGAAAGAAATCATGAAAGAAGAATTCATAACTTTTTGGATCTCAATACTTGTGAATAGGAATGAATAGTGGACATCTTTCTCTCGGAGCCTCCATTGAGATTTGAAACTAAGCTTCGCTTCATGATTTTCTTCGCAATCAATATTATAGTTTTAGTTTGTAATTAGCTTTTTCATATTTTGTTTGTTTTTTAACAAGTATGTTATTTATTTGTTTGTTTATATTTTTTTTTTGTTTGCGAAGAAATCGTGAGAGAAGAATTCTTAACTTTTGGATCTCAATACTTAAGAATAGGAAAAACGGACATCTCTCTCTTGGAGTCTCCATTGATGCTAAGCATTTCTCTCCATGATTTCTTCGCAATGAAAAGCATAGCCTTGGTTTCTAATTTCTTTATTTATTTATTATTATTTTATATTTTGTTTTGTTTTTTAATTAGTATATTACATATTGTTTGATTGTTTTATTTTTGTGTTTTGGTTTATTTGTTTGCGAAGGAATCGTGAGAGAAGAATTCATAACTTGTGGATCTCAATATTTGAGAATAGAAAAAATGGACTTCTCTTTCTCAGAATCTCCATTAAAACTTAGGCCTCGTTTGGCGGCTCAATATTTTAGCCTAAAAGTTAAAAAATTACTAAAAAAATTAAAAAGCCAACAACCTATTTCAAAAAGTCAAAGATTTCATTTTCTCTCTTCTACTTTTTGCACATCTATTTGTAAAAAAACCAAAGAGTCATTCCAAACATACTCTAGGGGGTTGTTTGGGGTGTCCTAAATAAGTGCACTTTTTGTCTTTTTGAACTAAAAAGTTGAGAAAAAAAAATGGATGTTTGGGTTAACTTTTTATCTTTTTACAAAAAAATGTGTAATAAAAAATTGTATAAATAAAGTGTATAGTGAAAGAAAGGTGATTGGACAGTACGATTGTCCAGCTGTGCTCAGCAGGTTTTATAAAGAAAATAATTGCCTCATTCGGGACAAAGTGTTTGGATAGTGATGGTCGGTCCATGAGAGTCCACCATGGGTTCCATTTTAATAATTTGAGCCGTTCAATATGTACAACTCGTCGAGTATTATATGCCTGTAAAAAATCACATTGATCGGATATCAACAGCTATATGATCAAATTAGTGTTTTTTTCAACAGTTAACTATCATGCCATCCGTTTTGTTTATACAAAGCTGATTTGATTATATAGTTAACGATATCCGATCAACATGATTTTTTACAAAAATATATTAATCGACGAGTTCTATATGTTGAACGGTTCGGATTATCAAAAAGGAGTCTTTAGTAGGCCCCCATGGCCCCAACATTTTTGTGACTTTACATATAGAATTTTTTTTTTGCCCCAAACAAAGTGTGTAATGCTTGTCGCTATCACAAGTACAGCTGAGAACAGCTACTCAGTCCATTTGTAGTATTGTAATATATAAAATATTTTTTAGTTGTGAATAGTAATGTCTTTTTTTTCTTTTTGTGTAACTTTTTGGCTTTTTGGATTATTTTTGAGTTGTCAAACCAGCCCTAATTTTTTTTACCTCATATTTTAGCCAAAAAATCAAAAAGTTTTGTTTTAAAAATTATAGTATGATAGAGTAGTAAGGAGGGTTGTTGCGTTGTGTGGTAGGGGGTTAAGATAAAAATAGGGAGTTGGTTGTACAGTTAGGGGAAGCAAGTGAGGGGTTTTGCAATTTCCCATCTTTGTTTTAGCAAGAAACAGTTAATTTTCTTTTCCCTCTAAGCCTATTGTAGATATAATTTAGTAATATTAATTATTTAAAAATTTTGTTTTCTCACAGTCCGGCAGACTTCGATGTTGTACTGACACTGTGACTAGGGGTTCATTTTTTTGATTGGGAGAGGGAGGTATCCCCCAGGTTTATTCACTTTGGTGAATTGAAATCTTATTTTTGCAATTTATTTTTTGTTACTCTCTTTGGTTTTGTATATGTCTGGTTTACATCCACATGCTTATGCTTATTGGCTTTGAAATCTCTGGGTTCACCTTTTTTTTTCTTCTGTTAATATGGAATCTATGAATGGCTTCGAAATCTCTGGGTTAACCTTTGTATGGTTGGCTTTAATTTATTATTTGTTAATTCTATCAAAATAGAACGGTTTGTTGATGCTTTTGAACAAATTGATGGATAGGCTAGTTCCATTGATTGATGAAATTGTTACAAAGGTGAGAACTTTATTACATTTTTTCACTCAAATAATTAATGTTCTTAGAATAGTTTGTTGGATGAAATTGATTGTAGTGCATATAGTTTGTTAATGTTGTTAGAACAAATTATTCTTGTATTTAAATTTTTAATGTATGTAGTAAAACAATGGGAGTTGATATTTCTTGTAGCTAGAGAAGAGCAAGTAGTAACATTGTTTAGTGTAATTGAGTTGAGTTTTGTTGTTTTGTTTTACTGAAAAGAGAAGAAGTATATTTTTAGGTTCAAGAATTATTTACCTTGTTGTCTTCAATTTGGACTTTGAGATGGTGCTCCTTAATTTGTTACTGTTAGCATGAAATTGAGTAGTCACTATTGCAGAAAACTATGCAGAACAACTTTAGAAAGGAGGAAGGCAATACCAAGAGGTACACTTCTATCCTTTTTTCCTTGCTTTTGCCATCAGATTTTCTTTTTAAAGGGTTTCAGCTTTTTCTCTCATCACTGGAGTAAATAAACATCTATGTTACTTTTTTTTTAAAATTTCTTTTTTTATGTAAGCATGGTAACAAAAAAGTAGCAACACTAATCTTCTAAAAGGGGATGTGTAACAGTGAAAAACGGAAAACTATGCAGAACAACTTTAGAAAGGAGGAAGGCAATACCAAGAGGTACACTTCTATCCTTTTTTCCTTGCTTTTGCTATCAGATTTTCTTTTTAAAGGGTTTCAGCTTTTTCTCTCATCACTGGAGTAAATAAACATCTATGTTACTTTTTTTTTAAAATTTCTTTTTTTATGTAAGCATGGTAACAAAAAAGTAGCAACACTAATCTTCTAAAAGGGGATGTGTAAGCCTCTTTCCTTTAATTAGGGGTGGTGTTCCAGTGAAAAAATTTGCCCATGGACACCACATGGCAATGCCACATACCAATCACCAAATACCACCACCATTGTTGTCTCTTCAAACATCAACATAAAATGACGGACTCCACTATATACACAAATCGCATTCATTTTGCGGCACCACATGCTCTATTCAAGTCCATGAGGAGGGTGATCTGCTTGACTGGTTTCACCATTGATCCTTTACATTTATTTATCACTCATCAATTGCTTGATTGTAGAAAACATAGATTTTTTACCAATAGGTTGCTGTAAAATTTGATGTTACAACTCTCATCATATTGTTTCATTCTAATTTTCTTTAAAAAACAACGAAGTCCTTTTTCACAAAAATAGTAAAAGATTTAAGCATTATGTGTATTACGGCAGCAAACCAATCAACCCCAAAAGCTAGCTATTGAGGTGAGGGTGCCTTCATGCTTATATATTTCACATTTCCTTCTTCGGTGATGTGGGACTTTGCTTCACAGCTATCAGATTGAATATTTTGGGTATCAGAGAAAATGACAGGATGCTTTGGGTCTGCAAAACAAATTTCTTGCTTTTTCTACTAGATTATTATCAAAGAAAAGTAATGCTTTTATATTTGTTGATCAAAGAAAATGACTGCTTTTAATGTTTGCTTTTGTATTTTCAAACAACACATACAAAAGGGCTAACGTACAAAAGCAATCCTACCATCAGGGTGTTTTTTTTTATTTATAGTAATGCTACACAAACAAAACCTTTTTTACAAACTTAGTTTACTAATTGATGTGGCAGATGAGTTATTCCCATAATTTAATTTCAAGGGTCCCATTTCAATACCAAGGCTTTTTTATTGTGTGCCATACCAATTTTTGTAAAGAAATTTGGTAAAATTTTTTTGTTTGCTATTAAAATCTCTTTGAAGTAGATATGACATGTGTTTGTTATTTTTAAATGGTTCATTTTCTTTTACATTTCTGGTTTATGTTCTTAAGTCTATATTTGTTGCATATATTTTTAAACGTCATAGACTGTACATCAAATTCTTTGGTAATTAATGATGACCCATAATTAAAGATTTTTTTTTTGGATTGGAGTTGGATGATACTTTATGATGAAGCCTTTTCCGTTTCCTTGTTATGTACCTTAAAGAGATTCTGTTTTTAGTATGATTTTGCCAGTATGTTTATGAATCTAATTTATTTATTTATTTTTGTCTGTATGTGTATGTGTACATAGGTATATGTTATTTATATGGGTTAATGGTGCTATACTGGCTTAAACTTCAAAATTTTTTGTTAGTGAACCTTGGCCTACTAAACTTGAGTTTATCGGTTCAAGTCTGAGGACAACCAATTTGTATATTTATGCCAAATGTTAGGTATGTACCCTATCTAACCTTACCCAAACACCTATTAACTGCCAAACAACCGTTAATGGGCACTAATTGGGTGTTAGTTTTGGTGCTTTAGAGCAGACCAATTACTTGTAATTTTGTGTATAAAATATTTCTAACAATTGAAGTGAGTTAATATGCTTTCATTGTGGTTTCACCATTGATCCTTTACATTTATTTATCTAGAAAACATAGAATTTTTACCCATAGGTTGCTGTAAAATTTGGTGTTACAACTCTCAGCCTATTGTTTTGTTCTAATTTTCTTTAAAAAACAACGGAGTCCTTTTTTCACAAAAATAGTAAAAGATTTAAGCATTATGTGTATTACGGCAGCAAACCAATCAACCCCAAAAGCTAGCTATTGAGGTGAGGGTGCCTTCATGCTTATATATTTCACATTTCCTTACTTAGGTGATGTGGGACTTTGCTTCACAGCTATCAAATTGAATATTTTAGGTATCAGACAGGAAGCTTTGGGTCTGCAAAAAAAATTTCTTGCTTTTTCTACTAGATTATTATCAAAGAAAAGTAATGCTTTTATATTTGTTGATCAAAGAAAATGACTGCTTTTAGTGTTTGCTTTTGTATTTTCAAACAACACATACAAAAGGGCTAACGTACAAAAGCAATCCTACCATCAGGGTTTATGTTTTTTTTTAATTTATAGTAATGCTACACAAACAAAACCTTTTTTACAAACTTAGTTTACTAATTGATGTGGCAGATGAGTTATTCCCATAATTTAATTTCAAGGGTCCCATTTCAATACCAAGGCTTTTTATTGGGAAAATGCTATGGACCCCAAACAAATTACCAAATTTTCTACTAAACCTCTCACATGGGTGTGGGACCCACACAAATCAAATGTGTGTGGGTCCCACACCCATGTGAGAGATTTGGTAGAAAATTTGGTAATTTATTTGGGGTTCTTAGCATAACTCCTTTTATTGTGTGCCATACCAATTTTTGTAAAGAAATTTGGTAAAATTTTTTTGTTTGCTATTAAAATCTCTTTGAAGTAGATATGACATGTGTTTGTTATTTTTAAATGGTTCATTTTCTTTTACATTTCTGGTTTATGTTCTTAAGTCTATATTTGTTGCATATATTTTTAAACGTCATAGACTGTACATCAAATTCTTTGGTAATTAATGATGATGACCCATAATTAAAGATTATTTTTTTGGATTGGAGTTGGATGATACTTTATGATGAAGCCTTTTCCGTTTCCTTGTTATGTACCTTAAAGAGATTCTGTTTTTAGTATGATTTTGCCAGTATGTTTATGAATCTAATTTTTTTTTTTTTTTGTCTGTATGTGTATGTGTACATAGGTATATGTTATTTATATGGGTTAATGGTGCTATACTGGCTTAAACTTTAAAATTTTTTGTTAGTGAACCTTGGCCTACTAAACTTGAGTTTATCGGTTCAAGTCTGAGGACAACCAATTTGTATATTTATGCCAAATGTTAGGTATGTACCCTATCTAACCTTACCCAAACACCTATTAACTGCCAAACAACCGTTAATGGGCACTAATTGGGTGTTAGTTTTGGTGCTTTTAGAGCAGACCAATTATTTGTAATTTTGTGTATAAAATGTTTCTAACAATTGAAGTGAGTTAATATGCTTTCATTGCTGTTGGATAGAGATTCCTGTTTTTGATAAACTACGTTGGAAATAAGGGTTTTGGATGCTTTACTATAGTAAACATTACCATTCAATAGCTAGGATTTTTTTATAGGTGATCAGTTACTTTACTATAGCAGAGCTAGGATTTAATTCAAGAGGTTCAATCATGATGGGAAAAAAAAGGCATTCAATTGAATAGGGGTTAGGAGTTTGCATTATCACAAATTCATAGTAGCATGAAAGAAAATCATTCCTTGTTGGGAAATCTATTAGGTTACTATAACTTGATTACTGTTTAAGAGTATTTCCCAATTTGGTTAGTTCTCTTTTACTCAGAAATTGGATATTTGGGAAAGAGAATAATGCTTCACATTATCTTTAATTTTTACTATCAGCATATGATCTCTAATTTCTTTATTTTCGTTTTTGCTTTGAGGCCATATTCGAGGCCCTTCGAAAAACACTCAACAATTAGTTTATGGTGCCATTGACTGGTCTTGCCCATATTGCAACCTTTTTTTTTCATCTCATATTTAGCTTAAAATGTAGCAGTTCTTAAGATTTTTAATGGATATCTATCTATATAATAAAATAGTATCCAACACTTCAAATTTTTTTTTTTTTTTTTTTTTTTGGGCAAGGCTAATCATGCGAATTTTTTTTTTTGTGTGGATATTTATATAATAAGATAGAATACAACACATTTTTATTTTTAATCCATTCTAAGCATTTTGGCGAAAAAAGGAAAATGAGTCTTTGGAGCTTTAATGGCATTGATGAGATTCAAAATTATATGTGAAGAGTAGATGAGAATTGCATTAATCTAACAAGAGTGGAATGTTGGTATCAGAATATAGTTGATTGAATAATCCTTCGTAGCTTGAAATTTGTTTGACCCGAGTGGCTCGACTACTCAAAACAACGTCATTTTTTTTTCCTCTTATATTCTGAAACAGAGGGAGGAAGAGAGAGAAGAGAGAAGAAGAGAAAGCGAAAGAGAGAGAAGAGAGAAGAAGAGGGAACAGAGAGGAGAGAGCCATCATCGCGCCATCATCGGCGCCATCATCAACTGATCTGTGTGTGTATACATAGATCTATGTATTTCTCTTTCTCTGTGTGCGTGTGTGTATAGATCTATCTCTCTCTCTATGTTCTGAGTTATCTGAAAAGAAAAAAAGAAAAAAAAAAGAGAAGAGGATGTGGTGTTGTTTGTTGTTGATGATGATATGTTGTTGATGCCAAAACGTGTTGATGATAATGTGGTGTTGTTTGTTGTTGTTCTTGATGATGATGATGATGATATGCTCTCTCTCTTTCACACAGCTCCCTCTTCTCTCCTCCTCCTTATTCTTCTTCTTCATCTGAAAAAGAAAAAAAAAAAAAAAAGACGTCGTTTTGAGCAGTTGAGCCACTTGAGCCAAATGAAATTCAAGCTACAAAACGGAACTTATATATTTTAGAAATTTGTGTATTTTTTCGTTGGTTGTTGTTTGTTTAGTGAATAACTTGCTTTTTGTGATAAGTGATAAAAGAAAATAATAATAAGATTTATTCTGGGTTCTAGAACGTTGTATGGGATCTTGCCAGAGTGGCAATCGAGTCCCAATTGGCTTGCTCTAGAAGGTGTTTGATGTAATTTGTTAATTTCTTGGATTAATTCATTTTAGAATGTTTGAAATTGCTCTATGCTTTTTCTTATATTGCTTAAATTGGATTGATCAATAAGATATTGGATTTTTGTTTTTTTCCCCACCTCTTTTTAAATTCACTTGAACCTATGTCAAGCTTATTTTAAAAAGAGGATTTTGGGAGTCGGCTTGGGGTGTGCCTCGACGGCCTCTTAAGTAACCACCATCAAGGTTCAAATTAACTCTAATCACCATATTTGCTCATATTTTTAAGTGAATTTGGTTTTATTTGATCATATTTTTTGAAGATTCAAGTTAAACTCTAATCACCTATTTGCTCATAAAGTGAATTCAGTTGTATTTGATCATATTTTTTTTCATATTTTTTTTAGGTTTGAAATTTGGGGAAAAGAAAAAAAAATTAATTTGGATTTTTGAATTTTTTTTTATAATTTTTTATTTTTATTTTCCAAGTGTGATTCCCATATTTTTGGAAGATGTTCCAATCTGTAAGAGTATGAATAATCATGTTGATCATGAACTGTTACACGGCATTAATTTCTCTTTACGCTCACATGTATGTACTAGTGTTACATCAATGTGTAAAATGAGTAATGAGAAATTTAGTTGATATAGGTAGAAGTTCTCTTATTTTTACGATTAATTACCTAAAAATATTGTTTACAAAATTGATGGTAGTTTTTAAGTCTTACTCTAAATTTTATAACCCTCAACTCAAGCCATCTTTCTAGATTATTTTCCTTTTCTATATGATATTGTCGTTAAGAGTAACTATTGCTAATTCATTTTCTCACAAACATGGATCCAATCCCCCTTCTAAGAAAAATTATTAGGTGATCTATGTAGTAATACATCACACCAATCACTAAATATCATGTTCCTTATTATATTTTTTGACCCAACATAAAATCATAAGTCTTACCCTTTTTACTAATAATAGCACTCGTGGGTCCGCCTTTGGCTATACCATACGACCACCAAATAAACAAAATCAATATTAATATATCAAATCATATAAAAAAATATTATTTTTTAGTTCAAATCTCATTATTTTCATGGCATAGATCCAGTTTAAATAAAATTTATATTTTTTGAAATCATTCATCGAGATATATCACATGAAATTTATATTAAACATAAAATTATATAAAAAAATATTATTTTTTGGGTGAATATTGTTATACGAAATTCCCTCCATATTATCAATTTCTGGTTTCCCTTATTAATATGTAAGCTTCATATTTTCTTTTGTTTTCGTGCATATCATACTTTTAGCAAGGACTGTCACATTTGATTGTGAAACTATGTACATATATGTATATTAGCATTGGGTTTGGCTTCCCTCCAGTCCGGACTGGAGGTGCTGTTAGAGCTATGAAGGCCCATCATAGGTCCCGTTTTGATAATTTAAATCATTCAATGTGTAAAATTTGTAGAGTACTATGTATCTGTACAAATCACATTAATCGGACATCGATAGTTATGTGATCAAATTAGTTTTGTAAAAAAATTAGACGGCAATAAACGGTTGACAAAAATGTGATCCGATGAAATAACTATCGATATCCGATCAACATGATTTTTTTACAAGCATATAGTACTCGACGAATTCTACACATTGAACAGTTCAAATTATTGAAACGGGACCCGTGGTGAGTCCCCACAGGCTCAACAACACCCTCCAATCCGATCACGGACTAGAGGGAAGCCAATTCCATTGGCATTTTCTACACACGCAAATGTGTTATATAAATTGTGTGATTTATAAATATATCAAATAGATATACAAACACCCCAAGAGGGCTTATGTATAAGAGATTTCTTTTCTTTTTTGAATAAATTCTTCTAATTTCTTTTATTTATTATTTATTTATTGTTACATAAATGATTAGAAAATTGAGAAATTTCTCAATCTCAATAAATTGAGAAATTTTTTAATTTTGTGACTTTTCTCTGTTCTATATTTTGTATTTCAATTACCTGTTACATAAAATGGGAAGTCCTTTTATCAAATGATTTTATTATGTATAAATTACAAATACATTATTTGCGATTTGCTTAAAATATGAATTACTTCTGTAGTTAAAAATTACATCTTGTCATTCGAGTTTCTAATCGCATAAAAATAACTTCTTTTATTAACATAACAAATAACCCATTTTATTAATTAATGAGGGCTACTATTTGCTCCCACCTTTTTACTTTGGCCTCTGAACTTCTTTGAACCCCCACCTAGCAAAATAAAGCCTCTCTATTTTTTCTTTGAATTGCCTACCTTAGAACCAACTATACCTTTAATCCCAAACCCAAACCCAAACCCAAATCCAAACCCAAACCCTAGCCCCCACTCCCAACCACCACCTTCGGCAGCTCACTTATCAAAGCCCTCGTTGTCGGCAGTCCCACCATTGTCGCTGCCTTCCTATTTCTTTTTCCCTTTTCTTTCTTTTTCACCTCACTGCCTCCTCTTCTTTTCTTCCCATCGCAGCCCAAATCATCGCTGCCATTTCAAAAAACCCTAGGGCTAGGGTTAAGGTTTTGAGAGAAGGTAAGGAAGAAGAAGAAGATGGTTAGGGACCGAGATCAAAGTCGAAGTCTATGGCCATGGCGGTGAGGAGTTTGCGACGGTGAGAGAACCACGAACCCAGAAGAAGAAAATGGTTGGACTCAACAGCTTGGCGGTGAGGAGTTCACGATGGCGGGATAACTACGAACCTAGAAGAAGAAGAAGAAGAAAAAGAAGAGAGAGAGAGAGAGAGAGAGAGAGAGAGAGAGAGAGAGAGAGAGAGAAATGGAAGGGGATCGCAGTGGTGGAAGGGTGATCAGATCTACTGAAGAAGAAGAAGACGAAGAAAAAGAAGAGAGAGAGAGAGAGAGAGAGAGAGAGAGATGGTGCCGGCTAGAGTGGAGGTGGAGGTGGAGGTGGAGGTGGATGGTTAGGGTTAGGGTTAGGGTTAGAGTTAGAAGGTTAGAGATGGGTAAAAATGAAAATTGGTGTTAGGACAAAATTGTAATAAAAAAAAATAAAGAAAATGTGGGGGTTCGAAGGAAAAAGGAAAAAGAAAAAAGAAAAAATAAAAAAAGGTAGGTGCCAAATAAAGGATAAACTACTAATAATTCATAATAGTTGGACTTAATTCCTATCAAATCCTATTGAAAATAAGTCTAAATTGTCGCTAAAAATAATTTTTTGTGACAATTTTTTGCGACAATTTTTTGCATATGTTGCTTAAAATTGACAATTAGTTACTTTTTTTGTTATGATTTTTATAAATTATCGCTAAAACTTACAATTAGCGACTTTTTTTGACAAATTTTTCAAACTGTCGTTGAAAGTTAAAAATTAGTGATTTTTTATTTTGTGACGATGTCGCTAAAACTTATAATTATGACTTTTTGTGATAATTTTCAAATTCTCACTGAAAATTAACAATTAGTAACATTTGTTTAATAGTATTTAATGAAAAATGCCAATAAGTCCACTTATTAAGACCTATACGTAAGTCCCCCTATTAATAAAGGAAGCTGTTATTCCCACTCCACTTTAATTAACAAGTTAATTAATAATTTTTAATGTCAAAAATGCATTTCAATTAATGATTCAAATAATTTTATTGTTGTGTAGAAGCGTAATTACAAATTTCATTTCTTTGTTAATTCTATTAAATAAAAATTTCTGATAATGAGGTAGTTGTAATTTTAGAAATTACATGGAGCAATTTGTATTTTAAGTAAATTTCAAAAAATAGTAACTTGGTTTTGACCTATTATTTGTATCATAACTAAATCATTTTAAGTCATAACTAAAAAAATAATAGTATCATAAACAAACACTACATAACATATAACTAAAATAATAATGCCAATAGGTCATAAACAATATTACAATGAGTTATAAATAATATGGGTAAATTACATTGACAACCCTTGAGGTTTGATCTAATTACTACCTATCCCTTGACGTTTTAGAAATTACATTCTCACCCCTATGGTTAATAGTCTCATTTCACAAGCTCCTTGCTTATATAAAAGTTAACAACTCTTAGTAAAAGAACAGAAGAAATTACATTTAAAAAAAAAAAAAGTAAAGGAAAGAGGGAAAAAAAAGAGAAAGTAAAGCAAAGGAAAAAAAAGAAAGTGTAAGAGTTCAATGTCTTCATTCCGTCTAAATAATTATAATGACAAGGGAGTTAGTATAATTTTCCAAACGTCAGGGAGTGATATATATTAAACCTAAATCTCAGAGGGTGTAAGTGTAATTTACCCAAATAATATTACAATGAATCAGAATCAAGTCATAGCCAAAACTATGGCCCCGTTTGGTAGAGCTGTGGAAAAGTGATTATAGATTATAACTCAAGTCATAGCCAAAACTATGGCCCCATTTGGTAGAGTTGTGGAAAAGTGATTATAGATTATAACTTAATAGATTATGGCTTATAGCTGTGAACATAAACTGTTAATCTGTTTGGTGTAGCTGTGAGATTATGAATTTAAGCAACAGAGTAGTGTTTGGTTAATAAGCTGTTGTAGACGTCCCCCGAACGCCCCGGGAGGGTGAGCT